GGATGGATGGATAAATGGATGGATGATGGATGGATGGATGGATGGTTGATTGGATAGATAGACTGATGGTTGGATGGATGGATAAATGGAAGGATGATGGATGGATGGTTGATTGGATAGATAGACTGATGGTTGGATGGATGGATAAATGGATGGATGATGGATGATGGATGGATGGTTGATTGGATAGATAGACTGATGGATGGATGGATGATAAATGGATGGATGATGGATGGATGGATGGATGGATGGTTGATTGGATAGATAGACTGATGGTTGGATGGATGGATAAATGGATGGATGATGGATGGATTGATGGATGGATGGTTGATTGGATAGATAGACTGATGGTTGGATGGATGGATAAATGGATGGATGATGGATGGATGGTTGATTGGATAGATAGACTGATGGATGGATGGATGATTGATGGATGGATGGATGGATGATGGATGGATGATGGATGGATGGATGATGGATGGATGGATGGATGATGGATGGATAGCATGTAGCTTTTTATGCTATTTCAGCTATATTTTTGCTCCATTTTTACTGTTTTTTTCTTTTGCTTCTTTCAGCTTTTAAAGTTTGACTCAGATACTTCTGCTTTTAAACATTCTCAGCTCAATTTCAGCAGCTTTTAGCTAATGTTTCAGGAAACAGGCATTCACACTAACATTTTCACAGGAGAAGCAGTTTCTGTAGTTATCAAACGCAGCTGCAGCAGGTGCAGCGCGAGGCGCTGCCCCGCCGCCTTTGAAGTCAGATCAGCTGGAGCTGACAGCTCGCGGGTTCGACTCCAGGACTGATTCGCATCATTCCCCCCGTTTGTTTGTTTGTTTTTCTTTGGGACGAAGTTTAAATTGAAATGGCTTCGAGGAAACGAGGAGCCCACCGTGATAACGGGCTGGGAGACGGTACCGGGTCCAGGAGTCCGGAGCGGTCCGACGGGAGACACATCGCGGCTCTGGTTCTGGCCCGCGGCGGCAGCAAAGGGATCCCGCTGAAAAACATCAAGATGCTGGCCGGGGTCCCGCTGCTCGGGTGGGTCCTGAGAGCTGCTGTGGACTCTCAGATGTTCGACAGGTACTTCTTTAAATTTAAAGTTTTATATTTTTAAATATGTTTCAACATTAAAACTGTCACTTCCTGCTCCGCTAAATGTTTTTATCTGTTAATTATTGAACAATTTACTGCAAGTCAAACATCATCCAGTCAGTCTGGATCCAACCAATCAGGTCAGGACGAATCAGAACCACCTGAGGGTCTGACCCGGATCCATGGCGTTTACACCTGCAGTCCAAACAAACCAGTTCATCCATCCATCCATCCATTTTCTGTACACGCTTCTTCCTTTTCAGGGTCGCGTGGGTCACTGGTGCCCATATCCAGCAGTCACAGTTCAACAACCTGTAAACCAGGTTCCCCCCCAGAAAACTTTGAATGAAGTAGGTGCTGTTTCCTGCATTCTGGTGTCTCTTTGGCACTAAGAGTTTTGAACCCAAAGGACAGCATAGGTCCCCTTTAAACTAACCCAGAGGGCTGAATATTAAGATTTAATGGAAGGGGATTAGGGCCACAGAGTTAATAAAATTTTTTCCCCCTAAATTCTGACTTTAATCTCAGAATTCTTAAAAAAAAAATCAAAACTCAGAAAAAATATTTCTTTGCTCTATGGCCCCAATCCTTATTTGTAGGATTTCCTCTCTTTCTTAATCAAGCAAAATCCAGAAAACAATAACTAAACACAAATAATAATAATCTGAGACTAAATAATACGGACTGAAACCAAAGCAAATTGAAAGAGTAGCAGGACTAAGTTGGACCAGCACCTTAAACAAATAAAATGAAAATGATCAACTTAACCTCCTGATGAATGAAACCGGTCGATGTGCCCTCCTCGTTCATCACTCCCTCTAAACAGATCTAAGCCTTAAAATCAAGAAGAGGGATTAAAATAATGTAAAACTCCCCATGAGGCAGCATTCAGTTGAGCCGTACCTCGGCCAGGATCAGTGCTGAGTCAGAGATCTGATCCTCTGATCTACCTTCGTTCTGTCATTGCATTTCCACATGGTTTTACTTCCAGGGACGAGGTACCCTGGCTACAGTATTTTTTGACAAAAACTATTAGTCTCAAAACGGCCTTGACCCAAGTTGTGGACTCCTGCCAAATGAGACAGAGACCGGGTCAGAACACGATAAACTCGGATAAGTTTCATAAATAATTTTGGTTTTGATTTTTCCTCAGTGTTTGGGTGTCCACAGACCATGACGAAATCGAAAAAGTGGCAAAATCCTGGGGGGCCAAAGTTCACCGTAGGAGCGCTCAAGTTTCAGAAGACGTCACATCTTCAGTGAAAACCATTCAGGAGTTCCTCAGCAAGAACAAGGGTACCAAGACCACTTGGTCAAATGTGGGGAAACGGGTATATTTTATTTAATAATTTATTCTAACTTGTTCTTCCTCAACAGATGTGGACATAGTTTGTCACATCCAGGCCACGTCTCCGTGTCTCCACCCGTCCCACCTACAGGGCGCCCTGAAAAAGATCTTGGAGGACGGCTACGACTCGGTTTTCTCAGTGGTCCGGAGGCACCAGTTTCGCTGGAAGGAAGTCAAGAAGGATAGTGAGTCCATCTTGGTGTGATCTTTCTTGGTCCAGTCCGTCTTGGTATAGTCCAGTCTTTCTTGGTTCAGTCTTTCTTGGCCTGGTCCGTCTTGGTGTGGGCCAGTCTTTCTTGGAGTGGTCTGTCTTGAGGTAGTCTTTCTTGGTCTGGTCTGTCTTGGTGTGGTCCAGTCTTTCTTGGTCTGGTCTGTCTTGGTGTGGTCTTTCTTGGTCTGGTCTGTCTTGGTGTGGTCCAGCCTTTTTTGGAGTGGTCCGTCTTGGGGTAGTCCAGTCTTTCTTGGTCCAGTCTATCTTGGGGTAGTCTTTCTTGGCCTGGTCCATCTTGGTGTGGACCAGTCTTTTTTGGAGTGGGCTGTCCTGAGGTTGTCTTTCTTGGTCCTGTCTGTCTTGGTGTGGTCCACTCTTTCTTGGTCTGATCTGTCTTGGTGTGGTCTTTTTTGGTCTGGTCTGTCTTGGTGTGGTCCAGTCTTTCTTGGAGTGGTCCATCTTGAGGTAGTCTTTCTTGGTCCAGTCATTCCTGGAGTGGTCTGTCTTGGGGTAGTCTTTTGTTTTTGTACCCACTGGTTCAACATTGGTCCACTGCACCACATGTTGAAACACCTGGTCTTACTTGGACCCCCACTATGACCTCTATCAAACTCTGTGAGTTACTTCTAATGGTTCTACCAGGTGTCCTTTACTTAATTCCAACACTCTCGCTCTCTGGTTGGTACCAGTTGTGCCAACTTCCTGTAAATAAAAACACTTGGCTTCCATTGAACAAGAACAAGCTAAACACCCAGAAGAAACGGTCCAACCCATGTTTAACATGGGTGCTTAGCTTGTTGTTCATCTACGTCCCACTTCTTTTCAGGTGGTGAAAGTACCGAACCGTTCAATATTGACCCTTTGAAGCGTCCGCGGCGTCAGGACTGGGATGGAGAGCTGTACGAGAATGGCTCATTCTACATCTCCTCCAGGGACTTCATCACGAAGACAGGGTCTTTGCAGGTGAGCGGTGGCCCGTTAACTTGTCTTAACTCTTCATACAATCTGTTGTCGGGTAACCATCTGATGGACTCTGCCCAGGGCGGTAAGGTAGCCTACTATGAGATGGAGCCGGAGCACAGCGTGGATATTGACGTGGACATTGACTGGCCAGTGGCGGAGCAGAGAATTCTCAGGTGAGACAGTTTTAAACTGTCGAGAAATTCGTAACTAGAGATCGGAGTGGAAGTTTGAAGCTGAAACCACAAAGAATGAGCACATCCTGGTGGCTAGCTGCAGTTCTTTATGTAGAAGTTAAGGTTTTGGTAAATGGTCATGTTGAAAGAGAGGTCCTTTGTGCTACCCAGCTAATCGCTTTCTGCTCAGACGACTGTCACTCAGTCTGCGTCACGTCTGCGTCCAGCTGAAGACTGGTGGGTCTTACACAAACCTGTTGTTAATTAGAAGTTAGAAACTCAAAGTTGGTCAAATGTAATTTAGCAGAAGCTAAGTGGCCTGCTAACGTTTTTAAAATTTAGTAAAAAAGCTAAACCGTTAAATGAAAAATTAGGGTTAGGGCTAGTCAATTTATTTAGGTCCGCAAGTTCAAAAGCACATATGCTTAATAAAACTTAGCACAAGCTAATATAAAGTACAACATAATCTCTGATTACCAGAAAACATTCATGTAAGAGAAAAGTCAGCACTTTACTACCATCTAGTGGTAAGATCATTTTCGTTAAAAGATTGGCATATATCGGCACAGAATGGGGAGGTGATTCTTAGAAACTGGTTGTAAAACAAGAAAAAGTTGTGGATTGCTAGTTCTGCTGCTTCTTGGTCAGTTTCTTATGTTTATGGCAGGGCTTCAGTAAGAAAACATGCAGATATATTAGAAACTTTAAACTGTTTGTCGTAAAACTGAATCAATGCATTCTGGGTAGGCTACAGGACACAGAACAGGAACTCCGTTCTTTTCAAAATAAGAGTGAATTTAAACGGTTCCGTGTTTCTTTTTTTAATATTATTTATTAATTTAATATTTATTGCCGCGGTGTTCCTCAGAGAGGAGGTAGGACAGCATGCACAGCTGAGTGTGGTTCTGCAGATCAGAACCACATGTTGATTGTCACCCGATGAGGAAATTGTTTGCTTCCTGCCACGCAAAGAATTGTGCGAAAACTACAGTCTCAGTGGAAACCGTCACCGAGAAGAGTCAGAAGTCAGCGTATAAAGCTCTGTGAACGCAATGCCGACTGAGGGGTCACTGTGTCCTCACAGTGCAGTGTCACTGTGTTAAGTAGAGAGGACGATCCCCTCCTTTGATCTAGAAAATGATGACGACGACGATGAAGTTATAATGAATTATGTGGCTACAGCAAGTAGTGAGATGGCTTTTTAGCTTTGCTTTTGATGAAACTGACGTTTGAATGTGAAACATTATTAGCGATTAGTAGTGATGTTCGATACTGCCAGTTTTCTTTCCGATACTGATACCGAGTAAAACTTGGCTGATATTGATGATACTGATCCGATACTGATACTTTGTGCTAACACACATAATGTGCCTGGTAAAACAGCGTTTTTCAAATAACTACTTTATAAATAATACATGACATAGCAATTTATTTAATTTAAAAGTCTTTTTAACACTAACCTTATATTTGTTTAGCACAATTCTTATTCTAAAGAAATATAATTTTTAAATAGTGAATAAAAGTGAGAGAAAACAGTCTAAAAGTTGTTACTTTGTATATTTTGTAGCATTGTTTGTGGGTTTGCAAGAAGGTCCTTGGCCAGAACTAATCCTGTTTGGGGTCCATGGCATGAAAACGTTTGAGAACTAGAATTTAATTAGTCAGACAAAGCAGATTTTTTGTTAAAATGACCTGCCATACCTCTACAGACTGAGTGACTGAACATTAGGGCTGTGTATTGGCAAGAATTTGGCGATACGATACATATCATAACAGAGGGGTCACGATACGATATATCCCGATATATTGCGATACTGTAAGCAAGGCAATATAATGCGATATATTGCGATTTTTTTTGTCCAAAAATTCTATTAAATAAAAACCTCTTACTGAAAAAAAAAGAAAAGCTAATGTTTACTTACAATGCTAATTCTACCCTTACTCTCTGGCGCTCAAGAGGTAGAGGAGCCAAATGGCTGGCTCACTGCTGCCAACTAGTGATCAGAGGCTGAACTACAACATAAAAATGAACGGTTGGCAAGAAGGTTGACATTTTAAACCTTAATTAAAAATCGATATAGGGCTTTAGAATATCGATACAGTATCGGGAAATGAAATATCGCGATATTTCAGTGTATCGATATTTTCTTACACCCCTACTGAACATGTGCCACTGTGCGCATTCATTACCCAAGCAGAAGAAAAAAAAATAGTTCCCTCCAACCACATTTGATTTAGACAAGATTTGAATAGTTGAGTTATTTTCCACTGTTTCCTGTTAATGTGAAGACATTATGTGAAATAACTGAAGTATCAAAGTATCGATATTTTGATTTTAGTATTGATTCTAGAACATAAAGTTCTGGTATGGGTAGTATCGATATTTCAGTATCGATCTGCACATCACTAGCGATTAGCGCCACTCAATTCTAAATTTAGAAAGCGCAAATCCACACGTCATTTTATGAAATTAGTAAATCCCCCAAAGAGCAAAAAAGAGATTTAGGTCTGTAATTAATGGATTTGCACTTTAGGGGACTAGTGCCCACCACTGACCTCCCCCGTAAAGAACAGTGAGTTCAAACACACATCTGACTCGAAGCTCCTCAAAGTCCAACAAAAACCCTCTCGTGCTTTCAAATGATGAACCTGAGATCAGTTTTAGTGATGATTGGATTCTAAAACTCTAATGTTAATTGTTGTAAAAAATACTCATGATAACCGAGAACAACTTTTTCCATCCCCAATCGTGGATTTACTTTATTTTCCAACAGGTACGGTTACTTCGGCCGGGGCGTGTCCCTGATGTTCCTGAAGGTTTCTGGATGTTTAACGGATGGAAAAGTCCTTCTGTCTGGATTTGGAGAGGACAGTGTGTCCGTCCACACCAGAGACACGACAGGAATCAGGATGCTGCAGAAAGACGACGTGGAGGTCGGACTTCTCAGCCATCGATCGACTCGTGTGTCTGCTTTTATAAAAGTCAAACCTTAAACCTCTGTCTGTCGTCTCCAGGTGGTTCTGCTGGTCTCTGGGGACGACCCGGTTCTGTCGTCGATGACTGAGAAGCTGAAGAATCTAACGGGCTGCGAGGTCATGACAGTGGGAGAGGAACCGCTCAGCGATGTCCAGGCGGTCGTGGAGAAGAAGAAGCTGGACTGGAAGGACGTGGCCTACATGGGTTAAGCTAACTCTTTTATATTGTTGATGAAACGGTCGGGAGGTTTGGATCATGGAACCAGGAACCAGATCCTGGATCTCATGAGCATCATGGTGGTCCTCAAAGGGCCAGTTGAAATTAACTTGGACTAAAAACACAAAACATCACGTTCCTCATTTCGTTGCTACAGCTGAACCTCACTAACAATAACTGAGCTCCACCTGGTATTTCCTGCATAGAAACAGCGTTTTAACACATCCTCTTATAAACACTGAAAACTACTGAAGAAATTTATTGGGGTTTGTTTACTTACTGATTTTTAAAAGCACCACATGTTGCAGTTTTTTTCTTAGGTGAATAGGTATATATATTTTTATAAACTACTGTGATTATTTTTGTGATTAAAATGATGATTTTCTGTACAGACTGGTCTGGGTGGCTATTACAAATGGTTACACAGAGCAGGAGGTGCAAATATGTAGATACATGCCTGAAAAACATTTACAACACGTAAATGTTTTTACATTAGAACTCAGTTTTCTCTGAAGGTCTCTGGTCACATGATAGGGAGTACCTCCATCGATGTGATGGCTTGTCTCTGGGGAGAGGCCAGAACCAGAAGGAGTTGTTGATAAGATGTTGAAACTTCCCGGATGGGGGTCCACAATAGGGCTGTGTATTGGCAAGAATTTGGCGATACGATACATATCATATCATAACAGAGGGGTCACGATACGATATATCCCGATATATTGCGATACAGTAAGCAAGGCAATATATTGCAATATATTGCGATTTTTTTTGTCCAAAAATTCTATTAAATAAAAACCTCTTACGGAAAAAAAAGAAAAGCTAATGTTTACTTACAGTGCTAATGCTACCCTTACTCTCTGG